GCCGTGCGAAGCCCGAGCGCCCAATCCTAGAGTTCCTGAGCCTCGTGTGGCGATTGCACCCGGCAGTCCAGCTCAAGGGGTGAGCCCGGCAGTCCTGCTGAAAGGGTAGGTCGGATGGCTGTCCAGTGCTCCACAACTCAACCAAAACAAAAACATTCTATGATATTCTATGCTTGTCCATCATATTCCATTCAAGCAGGCCCATAGTGTCCGGGAGAGAGCACAGAGCCACCCTGGCCAAGTGATTCAGCTTGATGCAGCCGTTGAGCCGGGGGTGCCAGAAAAAAAGGAGTTGCAGAGTGCTCTCAACCTGTTTCTGTGCTTTGGCGTCTGTTGCACTGGTGCTGCACAGCTATGCTGATCAAGCCTATGTCTCTACTATTCTCTACTGCAGAAATCCGCTTTACTCCTTACAGCCGTCGCCTACACTAATCTTCGAAATCCAATCCCGACTGAAACGCCCCAAGATCTCTTGTGAGGGTGGTCCGACCCCCCCCCATGCATAGAAATAAGAAAATAGGTGCCCCACCTATTTCCGACCCCCCCCCCACCCCCCCACCCCCCCCTTAAGGGGGGGATGATGGTGCACCTGGAGCTCATTGTTCTTGGCTCGCTTGTTGGCGGCGACGCCTAGGTCCAACGACGGGCATGGCTCATCGAGCTGCCCGGCAGACACTGGGCCTCAAACCTTTGCATCATGCACGGATGTGGTGGACATGACCGTGCAATCGTGATGCCCTGTTGCGACTACACTGAAGGGTGTGCCGTCGATCATGCGTTTGCATGGCATTGGTTGCCGCGATGAGCCGCATTTGCGACTCCACCCATCGGACCGCCCACGACACAATTCGCGCCTCACGTGCGTGGCTGTTCCTCCTTGCTCCTCGCATTCGCCGTGCGCGCACGATTCACCCAGGGGCCTATGGGCAAGACGAGCGCGTGCATGTCAGTGATGAGGACGGTGCTCGGCATTGGCGAAGCGGCGGGGTGCTCGATACTCCGCACCCAGGAAGACCGTCGGATTGATTCACCGTCCATGTAGTGGGGTGAGCAGTTGTCGAAAGATTCCACTGATGCTTGAGCAAGCATGTTGCGGTGCCGGCATGGCTCAAGCTTTGGCTGGCCGAGCTGAGGTAAATTTGTCTCGGTTGTGTGTCATTGGCAGTGCTACTGTATGCCGCAAAATTGCAGGTTGCATGTTGTATCATGTCGTATTTGTTTTGCAACAAGATCCCATCACATCTCTGACGACCGCGGTTGTGCACGATTGTTGTGAGCTTCGTGATTCCACCATGCCATCGGTGTGATTCGTGCGGCCGGCACTCATCCGAAGCCTCGGCCCCATGTTCTTGCTCGTATTCCAAGTGGATGGTTCTATCCCCGCTTGTGTTCAGGACCATGGAGATTCAGATCGACAGTCGGGAATGTCCGAACAGGATGCCTTGCGTTGCATGCCTGGGATTGATGGCCTGCAATGCGCCAACCTCAACTTGAGAGGCGGTGACTTCTAGTCATTCGGGGTTTAGTTTGGTGACTTTGAAATCCATCGTCGATGGGACAAGGTGCGCTGTGCAAACAGCTTTTGCAAGCACCTGTCGCAGCAGGGGATGGTGCCTGATCAGAATTATTAACGTACGCAGCCATTGAGTTTCAAAGCGTGGCACATGCTTAACACGGGAATGTGCTGTGTCGTGTGTAGGTCCGGCATCAGTGACTGCACCAGGCTATTCGTACTGTCGACACTGCATCCTGGAATGGTACCGCATGCACGATCGGCAGAACAGGGCTTTGGCATCGCCGACTACGAACGAACCGCTCGCCGACAGGTACCCGAAACAGCTGCAAATAAAACAGCTGCAAATCAGGGAGCTGTCGATTCGCGAGCACGGTATAGGGTCATTGATTGGAACCCCGGCAGGTTGCTATTGCCGAATATAACTTTGCGAGATGCGATTCGTGGAATTCAACGCCGCGCTGTACCAGCTTGGAACCAAGCCCCTTGTAAGCAGCATCGCGCGCAGGGGCTCGGACGAGCACCGGTGAGGTTGTTTTGGTTCTGGTGTGGTATAGTTTTTGTAGTAGTCCGGTTTGGTGTTGTTGTCCGTTTGCTCGTGGTAGTCATTTTCGGTGAATGTAGTGGTGGCAGCCGCAGCGTGTATTTGTAAACGCGTCTGCATCACGAACCTCGCGCCGGGCAAGGCTAGAAGCCGGCATCTAGAATTGTTTTTGGGATTTCAACAACTAAACCAATCTGTGTGCAGCATTGTGCAGCCATGCTTGATGAATTTGCAGCTGGCTTAGACAGAATGTTCTGAACATCCAGTACGGAGCATGGAAACGATGACGGAGACGACTTCCATTTAGGACGACGATGGCACATGACCATCACGGTGGCGTAATCGATGTTGGCAAAGACCTCACTTGAGAGTGGTTGTTGTTTCGGAGTATGTTGAACTTGGCGCTGATGCTTACACAAATGCTTGCTGCAGCTGATGCTACTCGCTGGACGGTGGCTTCATTTGCTGCCAAACACATACTCCCTATATTCGAGGATTGCGACAGCTAAGAGCTTCAATGTTGTCGGCCCGTGTTCTGTTGGTTGGCCATTGCAATCAGGCTGAGACGGAGCGAGTGGCATTGCGCCGCGAGGTTCAAGCTTTGTCGCGCATTCCAGCTGCATTGCTCACGGCTTAGCAATGCCCTGCACATGCAGCCGAAACCAGGAAAGATTCCAGCGAAAGACACGTTGGATCCTCGCGTGACACCTGCCGGCACACGCCATAATTACAGAATTGCCTCAAGAGAGGAATCGGTTGTGAGCATCGGAAGACCCGCAGCTAAGGGCCGATGCGCATGCAGAGGCGAACCAATTTCGTGTTCAGCTGGCGAATACGCAGCAGGACGACAATCTCCAACAATGCTCCGCTCGAGCCTGTGACAGCCGCTCCAGGAGGTGCAGCGGTTGCAGATCGAGCTGGCAGCCTAGCTGAGCCTGTTGCATTTTTTTTTGCCGTTGCTGTCGGCATTTGCATTTCGGAACTGGTGCTCTGTGGACTAGTTGCAGCCAAGGAGAGACACCAGACGGTGATGAAGCACCGTGATGCGTCGGCAAGGGACGTTGAAATCCAGGCCATTCCAACTGGGGCACGTCAAGACAACCAGCAGTTCTTCGTGAAGTCAGGCCCATGCTGCTGGCCTCGCAGCCGAGCTGAAATCATGCAAGACGGAGGCTCGTTGATGTGACTGGTTGAAGGAGTCGCTCCCGGATGTCCTGAGAAGGAAATGCTGCACAGGTAACCAGATTGCAGGACGAGTTGGAGAAGACCAGGGGTCAGGCCGCACGAGGTTGGTTTTCGTGCACTCTCCTTGAAGTGCCCGTCGCTGCAGGCCAAGAACCAAGCGGAGAAGCTGGAAGGTTCACTTGTCGAGCTGCACCGAGTTCGGATAGCGGAACAAACGTTGCAACAGGAGCTGCTTGCGTGAAAGAATGATCATCGAGTGGGCTCATGCAGGCTCTGAGTTCAATCAAGCTGCATCAAGGAGCTTGCGCGCATCAAAGCGGAGTACAGTGGGACACTGTGGCAAAAGCTACGCAGGGATGCTGCCAGCATGGCAAACATTCCTGCATCCTGATGAGGAACCTTCCCCCGAAGCCGGCTCGGGATGGGCTCGAGTTGGAGAAGGAGCGATTCTGGTGAAAACCCTGCCACTATGCATATGCCATATGCACACTTGCATGCAAGTTCGGTACCGAGCTCACTCAGAACGCACGCCGTGGACCCAACACAAGTGCCACATGCGAATATCCAAAACGGTGCTGCAAACCTCTGAAGGCCCCAGTGTGACTACCACGAAGCGCGTGCGTCGAATCCCGGGCCTAAACGAATGCTTGGGCCACTCGCGAGAGACAGAAAGAGAGAGAGAGAGAGAGAGAGATGTAGCCATTTTGGCTCAAGCCGTGAGTGCTCGAGAGATCAGCCCTGTGTCCAGATCTCACAAACCCGGGGGGATAGCTAAGACAGGAAAGGCTGCCACCAGGCCAGTGCCTTGCAGCCACCTTGCTGCCATCAAGCCCTACTGCAAGATCGGGATACCTACGCGACTCCACCGTGCGGGTCCTTGTCGGGGAAGTCGGTGCGAACGATCCACCCTGTGAACCGCTGCCCCCCTCCCCGGCGTGTGCGGGACATCCTGACCTGCTACCTGTACGGCTTGGCGGCCTACTCGTGCTGTACCTGTACGGGGGGATCCGGGACTTTGACCTCAGGTCGTAAAGTACCACCGGGGTGTGCAACGTGTTCCTTCAACGACGTTACCGAGAATGCAATCTTCAGGGATGACTACGCCCCAGGAAGGGGGACAGGCAGGGACTGTCGCGAACTCCAGCCCACCTAAAAGACTAAGAGAAGGAGGAGCTGGATCCGCCGACGATGACGGGGATAAGGTCACGATGGCATCTATTCGCGAGGCGATCCGAGAGCAACTGCGAGAAGAACGACACATCCTTTCAGGGGAACTACGCGAAGGCCTGGCTGAGGTGCACAACCGCATCGACACCGTCGAGAAGTGCACCACGGCCCTTTGCAAAACAGTCACAGATCAACAAGTGCGGCTTGACTCCAAGGTGGACAGCATCGAGCAACACACCAATGACCTGGGGACAAGATTGGAGCTGCTCGAGGGGAAATTCGCTACAGCACAGCTCAGTGTCAACAGCAGCACACGAGGTTCGGAGGGATCTTCTGCGGAGCCGACTCGCCCCGCCCTTGTCTTAGGGGGATGGGCGGCCGAACAGGCCGCATCCGAGACACTGCGACTCGTCAAACAGCATGTGGCACAACTCGAGCTCGACCTCGACATGGACGAGGCCTTTGTACCGGGACTCCGGCGCGGCTTTGCCATACTCCCACTACAAGCCCGCCAGGGGGAGACTCAAATGCAGCTTCGAGGGCGAATCCAGACGGCGCTGACGGCCATCCGGGAGGCAAAAATCGTCACGGGACCCCGACCAGAAGGGGGAAACCGCCATTTCTTTGCTGCAATGAGCCAGCCTCTTGAGCGGCGACGTCGAGCACAGTTTGCTGGAAAAGTCAAGCGATTGGTGCTGGAGGCAGGGGGAAGACACTCCGCTCTCGAGGTGGAGTTTGGGACAGCCAACGTCTGGTACAATGCGGTGAAGATAGCATCTGGGGTCACTACCGCGCCGGAGGGGGCTGTGTCAGCAACCGGGGGATGGATCAATCTCCCTCCACTGGCCCGGCAACTTGGCACTTCGGGGGCTGCCCTCGAGGAAGCCTGGAAAGAGCTCCGAAAGGGGCTCAACTGAGAGCTCAACCACGGCGAACACTTGTTTCACACACAGGGGAATGCTCCCTCAGAGGTGTCTTTCCTCAGCTGGAATGTCGGTGGCCTTCAACCTGCAAAAGCACTACGAATGCTATCGTCCCTCCGACAAGCTCGAATTCATCCCTTTTGCGGCAGCTTTGTGATACTTCTCCAAGAGATGATCATAGAACCGGGGAAACACTTTGCTGAACAGGACGATCTACAACTTTTTGCTGGCAAACTGAGTGCGGAGTGGCGGGGGACAGGCATAGCGCACAGCGACGACATTACCAGGTCTAGCTGTAAAACATCCACATGCACTACGTCCTGTACAATTCACATTGGGGGCATCAGCATGATTGCCATGTCCATGCACATCCCTCACCACGCAAGCCTTGCTGAAGCCGGAGAAATTCTGGAAGCTGCAGAACAACAACTCCGAAAGAAGCACAAAGGCCTGCTGGGAATGGACGCTAATGAAACCTTCGTACTCCGTGGGAAGGATGGCCTCGATTCTGAAACAGGCCGAGGAGAAATGATCCTCGGATGGCTCGAACGCCTTCAACTTATCATTGCCGAGGACAACGTCGGCAAGCCGAGTTACTTCCCGTACAACCATCGCCTCCAACCGCGACGACTTGACTACATTGCTCTTCGACACCTCCCAGCTGAGTCGGGGGATGTCCTCGCACAACGGGACGTAGCAAGCTCCGACCACGAACCCGTCTTCGTCACAGCTGCGGTCAAACCGACCAGGCGCGACTACTCGACCAGAGCCCCCGAATGGGGGAGCCGACGACTACGTGGACCCACAGTGGTTAAGCAGATCTTAGAAGCTCCGGTGGCATCGGGAGACCCCTTAGCAGCTTTGGCAAGAACGGCCGTCGCCATTACAGCAAAGTGCTGAAGAACCTCCGGATCAAAGCCATCGGCCACCGCGGGGGACCAGAACGCAGAGAACTGTGGAAACAGGTCATGCGACTGCATGGACAAGAACATCGCACATGGCGCAAACAACTGCTTGACAGAACAGCAATTGGCGACTGGAATGCTAAGAAGGCGCTCGCCCAATCAATGCGAAGCCACGAGTGGGAACTCCCACTCACTGATGACCCACAGTGGCAAGAAAAGCTGACCGAGCACTTCAAGAACATCTTCCAGAAGCAGGACAACGCCATTGTCGAAGCCAAGTTTGCGCAGGTGGATGACCGCCTGGTCCGACTGTGTAAACAAAACGCCTGGACACCTTTCAGCATGGACGAACTGGTTTCGATTCGCAAGCGCTGGAAGAACGGACGAGCATGTGGTCCGGACATGGTTTCGCACGAAGCCATGAAAGCTATGCTGCAGCACCCTCTTTGGGGGGGGATGATGCTCGAACTCTTCAATGACATGCTCTATACGGCCAAGATACCACAATCTATCGAGAGAGGAGTGAGTATCCTCTTGGCGAAAACCAGCCAACCGGGGGATTGGTCGGAAACAAGACCGATCACTTTGAGTTCAGCCCTGCTCAAGGCCTTCTCACAGTTGCTCCTCTCCAGAGCCGGGGAAGATGTCATGACTCCCGCTCGCCTGCAGTGGTCGCGAAAAAGCCGGCAAGGTGTGGAACTGCTCATGATACTCCGACGCGTCTGTCGCGTTGCCTTTGACTTCGGCCTGGAAATGTTTGTGGCGAAACTTGACATACGCAAGGCCTTTGACTCCGTTTACCCAGAGGCTATGGCAGACAGAATTGAAGCAGACGTTGCCTTGAAAGGGGGGAAGCCATGGGAGGCCCGAGCTTGGACGGCGCTCCTGCGCTCCGGCAGGATCACCGTCAACTTCCGGGGGACGACCCTCCACCTGGACCAAACCAATGGAGTACGCCAGGGAAGCCCTGACAGCCCCGTGGCCTTTGGTTCAGTTGTGGCAAGGGACCTCGACGACTGAGGCCAAGAGCACAAAACCCACAACAGGGGACCCACCACCTGAAGATGGCGGCAGCTACATGGACGATACATACATTTGGTCCATGTCACAGGCACATATGCAGAAGATGCTCGACCTGTTGGGGAACACACTCCCCAAAAAAGGTCTCTTCTTGCATCCCGGCAAAGTTGATATCATCAGTAACAAGACACCAGCCACCTTCCGGGTGGCAGGCAAGGAGGTGACGACCAAGGGGGAGAACCACATCATGACCGTCCTGGGGAGCCCCATGGCCTTCCATCTCGTGCCAAGCATCGTGATTGCAGCGATGCAGACAAGGGGGAGGAAAGCCTTCTGGACACACAGGGGGGAGTTGATGGCAAAGGCGCCGATTTCAAAAAAGATGATTTTGCATACGATGCTGGTTCGCCAATCGGCCCTCTGGGGCTGCGCCACGTGGCCATGCAATGCACAAATTCTGAAGCAAGCAAACTCAATCCAACTAGCCCATATTCGAGATATGGCGGGCATGCGCAGGGGGGATGGCGAGGGCTGGGCCACATGGAATCAAAGGACTCTTCGCAGGACCCGGGGGATTCTTCCGGCACGGCATCACCAAGAAGCACCCAGCGGCGAGTCGATGGTCCACTTTCATTTTAGAACAGATCTGGGGACTGCTTGGACATATGTGTCGTGGGGATCCAGTTGGGGGACAACTTCTCCGGTGGCGATGCTTGTCGTGGTGGAACGCTCATAGACCACCGTGGGGGAACATCACCCACGCCAGACGATTCAATGCCTACATGGACATCGACCGGCAAGTCACATCTGTTGCGGGGGAAGATTGGCACCAAATCGCCATGGACCGAAACCGGTGGTCCAGTCTCCTTCAAGCATGGATCGACAAGTACGATGTGCCGTGGGCATCAGGAAGACAGACCAGTTTGACGAACCTGGCGCCACACCGCAGTTCGAGCCCGAACACCAGGGGGGACGATTTCTTGCCACCGCCACCGCTGACTGCCTGATGACGCGGAGTGCAATAGTACCTCCCTGAATCGTAGCCAGCAGGAGACGGCATGAGACTTTCGTCCACTTAGTCCAGCAGACACATACATGTTCAGCGAAGTGTTGAAAACGATGGGGGAATCCTGCCTCGCTCCGCTCAGTGGACAACCGACAGTCAGAGACCATGCAACATGGACATGTCTGACTCACCACGTTGCCGCCGTTGACTTTGTGAATGCATGCTATGTACCAGTCTGACACTGCGGATACTTGATGACTTCCCCAGCCTCGACAGTCATGCAGACACGTTCCTTTCTTCTGGGGGATCAGATGTAAACCCCACTGGCAGACTCGCTCAACTTGCTCTTCCGCGCGCGCCTTGGCTCGAACCTGACCGTTGGGAACACGCCTACATGTGATCGTTCTTCGTGCATAACTT